ATGGAGTCACCGATCTCACATCGGATGACGAGGGCGTCCCTGTGTGATTCCGTACCCGGAGGCAGATCCTTGTCGGTGAAGGTGATCGCCTCCGTTCGCTGCTTCTTCGGCTGGGGGGGAACGTGGGACACCTCTCCAATGTAAAGGGATTGGGCCCATTTCTTTCTCTGAGTGGCGGAGTCCCCCCCAGTGTTCCCACCTACGATGAGGTGGATGTGATTCTTCTTCGGCGGAGGCTCCTCGAAGTCCTCGTCGTCACTGAGTCTACCGATCTCCCGCTTCTTCGCAGAGGGTTCGCCCCCATGTTTGCCGGTGTTTACCCAAGTGTTTTTTCGTGGGCCACCTTTGACAAACTGGGAGAGTTCCCCCTGGCGAATAAGGCGCTCGATGGCCTTCTTCAATGTGATGCAATCGTCGGTGTTGTGCGACGAGTTCTTGTGGAACCGGCAGTACGTGCCGCCCTGCTGGATGGCCAGGATCTCCTCGGCCGGACGAGGAGCCTGCTCGATGAGGCCGTGCTTCTCGGCATAATCGAGGATGGTGCCGACCGGGTGGGTGAGGGCTACCCCCGGCCGTTCCAGCCTCGGCCGCCAGTGGCGGTCTTTCTTACTTTGTCCACCAGAGCCGTGGCGGCCCTGGGCACCCTGGCCGGCCGGGGACGGACCCGAGGCCGGCGAAGGATTTGTCTTCTTGGGGGGATGGCCCCCCTCTCTCTTGTGATTGTGTAGCTCGTCGGCGTCGGCATACAAGCCTCCGCGTTGGAGCGCCTTGGCGTACGACCTCGGGGGGTCAGTGATGAGGCTCCTGGCGTACGGGGAGCTGCGGAGGGCTACCTGGTACAAGGCGAGGAGGGTGCGCTCATCGGCCCCCTCGACCTCCTCAGTCTCCCTCGTCCACCGGTCGATGAATGACCGGAGGGACTCCTCGTGCTGCTGTTTGACGGAGAGGAGGTGGGTGAAATACTTCTTGGTGCGTTTCCTCCCGGCAAAGTGAGTGAGGAAGCGCTGGGCGAGATCTTGCCAAGAGTCGATGCTTCCTTCTGGCAGTCCGTTGAACCACTCGTACGCTGGCCCCTCGAGAGTAGAGAGGAACCAACGGCAGAGGTATTCGTCGGACGCGTTCACCATCAGCATGTTGTTTTGATAGCGGCTGAAGTGCTCCTGGGGGTCTGATCGGCCATCGTAGGACTTGATGGCGTTCCCCCTGTACTTCTCAGGGATGGGGGCCGAGAGGACCCTGTTGGTGAAAGGGGTCCTAGTCCTGACCTGGATGATGGGGTCACCTCGCCCTTCGGCCAGCTCCCTCTCCAGGGCGCTGACTTTGTTCATGAGCGCGTTGAGGTCGGGGTCGTTGGAGGCGCCGGCCGTAGGGATGTTGGCCGACTGCTTGGCCTCCATCTGAGCCAACCTCCTTTCCAGCTGGGCGATGACCTCGTCCCGGGGGTCCCTGCCGGCCGCAGCGGCGCCCGGCTGGTTCCTCAGGCGCTCGTTGTGAGCCGCGTTGATCTGGTGACGCGCGTCATCCTCGTGCAACTTTCCCTTGCCCTTGTCCGGGCGGGGCTGGTCCGCTGTCCGGGACACAGACCCCAAACTTTCCCTTGGCGAGCCAGGACGAAGATCACCAATCCGTCCCGCCATCCTCTCCGAAACCGGACGACGGCGCGTGTCACCCAGCCTATTGAAGGCAGAGGCTTTTCCACGCGCTGGGGTCTGCCCGGGCCGAAGAGGGGAGGCAGGGTGGGAGTGGGACGATGCCGTGTCCTGGGCCACAACCCCCTCATTGTTGCCTATCTGGTCGGCCAGTGGTTGGGGATGAGGAGGTGGAGTGACGTTTCCCCCGGTCCTTGGCAAGAGCGCGCTGAGGACGGTGGGGTTCTGAGCCAGGCTGGCGATGATGACCGACAGCGCGGCCTGGACCTGTGGATCCACGGACGGTGAGGCCGCGGCCATAGGCTGGGCCGGGGCGTGGTCCGTCTTCTCAGCCCGTCTCTTTTCCAGGCCGAGGCGGGCGTCGGGGACTCCGCTGTTGAGTTGGTTGCGGAGGTCCGTCGTGAGGTTGAAGGCCTCCTGGAAGAGGTCCCCTCCGCCGATCTGGTCGGCCGTGGCGTCCTCATCGTGCTCCCTGGGCTCTTGGTCCTCAGGGATGGCTTTGCTGATGAGGTTGCGGTTTGACTTGGTTCTCCCCATGATCAGTGGTTAGCTGTGCTTGGTAGCGACGAAGGGTGCTAACTTGATTGTTCTAGCTCTCAACGAGAGCACCAAATGATGGAGTATTAACTCCTAGATTCTAGAGAGAAGTGAGAGCTAGAGAGAGAAGTGCAATAATATGCTTCAATAGAATGAATTTGTCACCCCTATAACTACTCCCAAGGGGAGTATTTATAGAGAAAATTAGGGTTGGGCTCCCAAGCCTTGGGCTTGGGAGGCCCATTTACAACTGGACCGCTACTGGGCCGGATACAAAGCCTCTACTGGGCTGTATAAATGACTAAGTATAGGATCCGATTCTGGGAGGTCCTCGTGGCCGACGAGGGCGTGGCCGACGAGGGCACGGCCGACGAGGGCACGGCCGACGAGGGCACCCGGGTTCCTTGGACTCAGGATCATAATCCGGGTTGGCTTCTTCTCGGCCGACGGGGGCGTCTTGGCCGACGAGGGCGCCACTCTGTTGTCTTGTGCTCTGTTCTTCCGAGTATGTGGGTCCTGGGGCTCAGACCCATATACTCCATCATCAACCAAATTTCTTAATGTGCTAAATAAAATTGTTGAGCGATTTGCTAAGAGTTTCATCAAAGCGATTTGTTGAGAAGTGTGACTGCCGACCCGATGTGGGATTATCTCGAAATTCATAAAGATTTTCGAGTCGGGTACTACCAATCCCTCACTTCTTAAGTTCTTTTGAGCTCGTAATGTAAAATTAGACGTGGAAAGGAGTAAAGCTTAATACTTGAGCGGTTTGGAGTCCCCCTCGATTCGAGTTCTAACACTTGGTGAATCTCCGGGTGCAAAGTTTGGGCAAACCGCAAAAGTGAAGCGTTTGGCGCTTGAATTTTGAATTGATGTGGGTGGGGATAACATCTATTTAATTGTCATCCCATCATTAATAGTAGGGGTGGACTCGGGTCCGGGCCGGGTCCGGGTCGGGCCTAGGCCCGGGCGGGCCGGCGGTTCAAGAATGGTGGACCCGGGACCGGCCCGGGTAGCCACCGGGTCCGGTCCGGGTCCGATCCGGGCCGGGCCGGGCCTCCGGTTTGGATTTTTTTTTTGCTTTCCTAACCACCCCCCCCTCACCCCCCACCCTCCCAACCCCCCTCAAACCCATCCTACCCATCATGCCCAACCCGAGTGGAACCCCAAAAATGAAAAAAAAATAAAAAAAATTCAATTTGGCCCGGGCTCGGGCCCGACCCGGCCGGGCCGGTTCACCAAAATTGAGACCCGAGCCCGGACCCGCCCTACCCCCCGGGCCTAGGCCCGACCCGGACCCGGACCCGAGAACTGGGCCGGTCCCGGTCCCGCACAGTAGCAGGCCGGGCCAGTCCACGGGCCGGGTGGCCCGACCCGAGTCCAACCATAATTAATAGTGACGGTTGAATGTTTAGGCAGCCATATTGATGGTTAGGACTTTGTAGTTCGCACGTGTGTGTGTGACGGCAATGGGGCAATGATACCCTGTCTGACGTCACCATAACAGTCATGTAGTAGCCTTCCACATGTGGATTTGGCGGCTGTTTACTGCCCAGCTCGAAATAGGCATGGACCAAGCCTGGATCAGGTTGGGCCCTGAGCCGGGGGCCCGGGATTGGGCGAGACTGGGCATTTGGGCTGAAGGCCCGATTTCGAACCGGGTTTGAACCAAGACCGGGCCGGGTAAATTTTTTTAAGACCTAATTTATTCCTACCCCCACCCCCTTCCCACCCTCAAACCCCGCCAAAACACTCAGCCCAACCCACCTAGCAACAGCCTAATGCTAAAAACCTAAAAAAATCATTTTGGCTTGGACAGGCCGAACCGATCCACTAATATAGGCTAAAGGGTCAAATAGGTCCCTGTACTCATATCAATAGCTCAATTGGGTACCTGAACTAAAAAAAGGTCCAATCCAATCCTCCAACTCTTCAAAATCGTTCAATTTTTTCGTTTTTTCAAAGGCTAAAGGGTCAAATAGGTCCCTGTACTCATATCAATAGCTCAATTGAGTACCGGGAGTTTACCGGCTAAACGAAAAAATTGAACGATTTTGAAGAGTTGGAGGATTGGATTGGACCTTTTTTTAGTTCGGGTACCCAATTGAGCTATTGATATGAGTACAGGGACCTATTTGACCCTTTAGCCACTAATATAACATTATAACGTCTCGAAGCCTGCCCTTTGACCCCCGGTTCGGGCCACAAGCTCGGTCACGGTCGACCGGGCCGGTACAGCACAGTAGCGATCCGGGCCGGGTACCGGGTTGATCCGAACCAGCCCATTCCTTCCATCCCTAGCTTGAAAAGGTATAACACCAAATGGTTGCAACCTTTTTACACTTTCTTTGCATTGCAATTTCTTGAGTTTTTCACCTTCCAGCTTCCACACTTTCTTTGCATTCTAATTTCTAACCTCCGAAGTAGTTTGCCTTCTTCTGCTATTGCCATTGAGTCAATGGCATTGACGTCTGCTAGATTTCACCTTCAATTCCATGATAGTCTTCAGAATCTCGGATCCCCCATTTTCTTTTGTTATCTGTTTTCGGCCAGGGAATTCTTAGAGAATATAGATTTTCGCTTGAAGAATTGAAGGTTTGGCCATGCAGCCGAACCCTAGACTGAGCAATACTGCCTATATCTGATGACCCGTACGGGTCCACTTAGTAAAGTCACGAAACAAATCTGGGTCTTGCACTACCCACCCCGCCCCTACGGCCCTACCCATTGTCATGCCTGAGCGAGATAATCAGCTATAGACGCGGGAGGCATCATTCAATTATCCTCATAGAATCACAATTAATCCAGAAGGTAGCCACAACCAAAATCAAAAGAAGAAAGTAAAGAATACAACAAGAATACAAGATGTGTAAAATCAGGATGTTTCAAATGTGTGGCGGTAAACCTCAGTAGTCAGTATTACTACATTAAACTTCTTTTATAATAAAAAAGAAAAAATTAAGGAACTATAAAACCCTAAAATACATATGATATGAACAAACCAATGCAATAGTTACAACCAATCTGCAATTTTTCGCTATTTCAAGCTCTGCCGCTGAAGCCAATCGTGTAAAAACAGACGATTAAAATCAAGAGAGAAAACAGTAAAATGCTAAACCCCACTCTACAAATCTAAAACCCCTCAAGAAAAGGGAAAAAAGCACAATGAATCCGTGCAAATGAATCGCGTAAAATGCTTCTACCAGACCTTTTCCACTGCCATTTCTTCCGCCAGCCCTGGCATTTTTGTTGTTGAATATACCTTCGTCCAAAATGGTCAGGCTTGAGATATATATAGAGAGAGATAGATATAAACAAGTTTGACAAAAACGTTGATTGTGGTCCCCCTGTGGAGTTCTTCAATAAGACCAAGTTGACTCAGAGCAAACCAGCAAGGAAAGCCCCAGGATCTGCTGATACTGCTGGAGCCGGTGTTGGGTGTGGAGGCACTTCTGCTGCTATTGCTGCAGCAGAGGGCCTAGGAGCTGCTGTGGGAATGACAATTAAATGTTCTTTGATGAACTCCTTCAACCTATATATGCATAAATACAAATGAGCACAGTGATGATAATTCAACTATCTGTTTGATTGAATGGAAAAACACATGGATAGTATTATCTATAAACTTGACATACTCGAAAGTTACAGTTGGGTCGCCAGAGGCTACTGTCATACGCAACTGGGTTCTATCTGCTGGATCCGTTTCTATTCTTACCTGTGTATACATTCAGTGTAATAATATAAAAATATCTGCTAACTTCAGGGGCCAAAGAGAATATAGTAGTAAAAAAGAGTGTTTTGTGTATTTGTGCAAGAGGTCAACTTTCATATCCTTGAGTCAAGAACTTTAATGTTTTTCTTTTTCTAGTAGCATACTAGTAGGGGGTAAAATAGAATCCATTTAAATACGCCATTTTCCTACCCTATTACACAATCTCGTTTATAAAAAAATATTGATTGGTTGGATATCCATTTGTGAACATGTTTTTTACAGAAGGTTCAGGATGACAGGACTTTTTAAATGAACTTTTAATGAATGGTAAATGGATTAATGGATTCTTTCAACCCAACCATTATCATCCGCTTACATTTAGCCCATTCATCCATTTGTGATCCTTAAGATAACTATGAGTATGTTAACCTGCTACAATTTTTAAAAGCAAAGCCCGAACATATTAGAATCTGGCATTTTGAAAGAGCCTAATATACATGACAACACCTTTAAAATCCTTCAGTGCAGCAATAATCCATATTTTACAATGAGAAAATTCAAAGTAGAACTTCTAATCCTCACCAAACACAGCATGGCTCGTGTACTTTCTGAATAAAAGGTTGTGCTCGCAATCAAGTTGTTTGCATTTGGATCCTAAATGAAAATCATTAAGAATTCAGAGTGCATAATGTCAGGTTAATCAAAGACATCTACAAAATACATTATTAACGAGTGTAAAAATTGGGTCATCAAAAGACGTAGTTCACTTACAAGCCCAGGGCAAACCATCAACCGGTAACTGTGGAATAAGTTAGCCATCTCTACAAGTGACATAGGTCTTACACCTCTAACCTGATGAAAATAATAATAGCTAAACAAGGTTAGACTTGTTCATTAGCTTATGCTGTAATAGCTTATTATTGTCTAAGCATGTGAAGTATGGCAAATACCACTTCTTGGAGCTTCAATGGTGGTCCAGAGAGTGATCTCCATTGGGGGAAAAATTCTTCTGCAGAAACGGATATAGGCTGAAGAAACTTGTTCAAGACAGCTGGAAGCCGAAGTTTAATATTGACCTTTTCATATGAAGCAGGAAAACATATTGTTAGCCACAAAGAAATAAGGGGCAGTTTCTGATGCTTATATTTAGTTATTATTAATGTCATTGTTGCAGCAAACGGAAAATCATGATGATGATGATGATCATGATCATAGTAGTAGTAGTATAAACAACCATAGTAACAAAAACAGTGACAAAAATAATAGTAAGAACAACAATAACAACTGACATTACCATATGGGTTGCAAACTTGTAAGAAAAATCAAGAACAGCTACATCCCTGCTTGGACGGAGGTTGACCACTTCAAGCGGGCATTGAACCTGGTCATGTTTATTGCAAGGTAGAAATAAAATTTGAAAAATATAGATCACATAAGGAAAAATGTGCAAGTCCTAGAAGCGATATAAACCATAATTATTTATAACCTGCGCACGCGGGGGAATAGCATCTGGCACTAATGACAGTTCCATCCTTAGATGTGATGGGGGCAATATTACAGCTTGTACTGAAGCAAGTGGAGCAGTATTCTTGTTTCCTAAAAAGAGGACAAGCCGTCCTTGATGCAGTCTCCACTCAGCTTTTATGCCAATCTAAAATAAATAAATAAATAAATAAATAAATAAATAAATAAATAAATAAATAAATAAATAAATAAATAAATAAATAAATAAATAAATAAATAAATAAATAAATAAATAAAAAATAGATAAATAATTGAACATATTACCACATCAAGTTCATCATTAACAGATGCTAATACACTGAGCAGTGATTATTTACCTGAATATTAGGATCTTCATATATTACACCACTATCCTTGAGACATAAAGCATGAAACCTTTCTGCGATATTTCCAATGGGCTGCAAAGATAAAACAAGACACTTGGATGCACATCGGATAACATTTACTTATGCTAGCTACCACCGTTGTGGACTTTGCATATTTACACTCTTTTTGCCAAGGGAGGGAAGAATACCTTTATTAAAAGTTAAAACACTCAACTTTTGAGTAATTGAGTACAACCAGTCATTATATGTTTTGTGTGTGTAGATATATTCATAGTTTTCTTGGAGACATCTTGTGCAGACATACATGTAAATCATTACAAGGTAACTAAAGGGTGGAATGTAGACTACTAGGCTGCTCTAACTCCTCTAAGATTTCCGTAAGAGGCTTGGACTACTAAGGTGGCTCTATCAAAAAGACCGTAGGGAGGCCGTGACAGCTAAAAATGATATACTTCAACACTTTTAGAAACCAAAGGTGAGACAAATGCCTTTCCATCAGCATCTTACACCAAGGGGATGTTTTTCCTTCATTTTTTTAACAGCATAAACTATTTTGAAAAAAATCATACTCTATTTTGACATTTTGACACTGAAGCTCATGCGTCCATTTCCAAATCTCTAACTTGTACATGAATACCCGCTAGTACTCTGGAAGTTATAATATATAGGTCAAAGTGTATCTATTGTTTAATCTAGGAGCATTTGAATATTGAGTGTCGTTTGGAGAGGCTCAGGAGTGCCACTCCCTTTCCATTGAATTCCTATGTTGCTCATAGATTCAAACTTTCGAACCATCCACCTATAAAATAATTTTAAAAATATCCCATATAGCATTTAAATCATTTAATAAAAACCTTTGTTGTTTATTGTTGTTAAGTTGCATTATCAAGTTGAAGAAAAATCACCACTAACAGATAAATTACTCTCAATTATTATAACACACCCTTCATTCTGAAACTACTGCTCACTTTGATGAGGCATGGGATGATTGGATTTAAGAAAATGAAAACTTCTGTCCAAAATCATTTAGGAGAGAGAAAGAGAATGTGAACCATGTATTCCTTTCCTTAAAAGGAAATGAATGGCAATTATGTGACGGAAAAAAGGAGAGCGAAGATCATTTAGGGACACAAGACAATTAAGAATAATGTTATTAATAAAAATAACTTTATAGAATGAGCTTTGCAAAAAAATATTATTCAACTTGATTTTAATCAGAACTACATTTCTTTATAAAACCATAATTTGAATGACAAAGTGAGCGCATTAAGGACTTCCTTTTCTCATTCCGAACAGTAAACACCTTACCTTTGTCATTTCAATATAAGTAAATACCCTGCTACTGTTTTAATTCCATGCTTGTTCCGATCCATGAAGTAAACCATAAGTGGTTAACTATGTCAGTCACAATGGATGAGGAAAGCCGCTTAGCCGCCACCAATCACACAAGCAATATCTAGTTGAAGAGCTTGAGATATATAAGTAGGCAAGTGTACCTGCACAATATGTGTCTGCTCTTCAACTGGTGCAAGTGCTAAAGCATCATCTATGATTGGAGAACCTCTAACACCAGATACCAAATTCTGGTCAGCTCGGGCATCACCGCCTGCAGGAGGGCCTTCAATGGCCAATGTACCTAAAAGGTCTCCAAGAAGATCAGGAGGAGAAGGTGTTGAAGAGGGTTGGGGGTCAACTAACGTCAAAGTCCCATTTGTCTGAGTCACCCCTAGGTCTACTGAATTATGATCCTGTGTTCATGCCAAATGTCTAATTGTTAACCAAACTACCAGATGCAGAAAATCAGTTGTCTATATTTCTATAAAAATCCATCCAGTGATATCTTACCACATTGCTCGGGTTTGGTATTTTTACAAGACCTAGCTGGCTAACAGGTGTGCTCCCATTAGCAGGCCGCTGGTGGTCAGTCACCACCAACGCATTAGAAGGCTGTTGCTGCTGCTGTGCACGTAACTTGATAGCACTTTGTTCAGCAGTATCGGCCTCAGAGTCCTCAGCCTTTTTTATCAATGGAGACTGAACCAAAATACATTTAATACTAGATCATATATTTACAATAAAACAATAACTATTAAGATCTTAACAAGTGAATCATGAGGGAGCAGGCATTTTTTCCCAAATAAATGGATCGACCAATCATGAAAGAACTAAGGTACAGCTGAAGCAACAAGGATACCTGTCGTTCAGGGAACTTTGGCATTTCAGCTAGTACATCCATCAAAGCTGCACCTTTTCTACTCAATTCAAGGTACTCTACAGCCCGTTGTTGTATTTCAACATCAATGCAGCTTTCATATCTGAACGTGTGTATTTTATCGAGTAAGTATATCAGCAAGATAACTGACATGATTGACAAAGAGTGCATCTTACTTTCGAAATATTGCCCAAATTTGATTCTGTAGCTCTGGATCCGGCGGTTGGTTATGCATCAAAATCTTAGCATATGTTGAAAGGAGAATCGGAATTGTTGAAGTCCTAAACATTCTCAATTTATTAAAGTTACATATGAGAAACTAGTTAAACAATGGAAAGAGAGACAACATGGAGGGCCAACACTTACGAAACTGCAGGAAACTTGTCATGTATGATACTAAAGATTTCTTTTGGACTACACCCAGGCCGTCTAGCTAAAAAATGGCTGTATTCTCCAAGGATGTATGCACTAACCTGTTCCATTATATAAATTGAAAACACACATTTTAGTCCATATTAACATGTCTGTAAAGTATTCAAGTCTACATATGCTACTCTTCCTATAAAGACCCCCCCCCCCCCCCCCCCACCACCACCACCACCACCACCAACACCACATGCATGGCAAGCATGCAGACCATCATTAGCAATGCTCTGATTTTTTTATGAAGTAAAACAATAAGTGTAAACTGTAAAGGGAGATATACACACCCTGACCATTGTCTCGTGAATAGCAGGCTTATCGAGATACTCTTTTGCTTTTAAAGCTGCATAGGGCTAATAATAGAGAGAGAGAGACGGGGAGAAGAAAACAAAGGAATGAAGTTAATCTTAAAGGTGCTAGAGAAGCAAAAACATAATGTCTTTATGGACAAGGGATAGGGCATAAGTTACCTGTAGATCCTCATTGTTTGTAACAAACTGCACAACACGGAACCATATGTCATCACTGACAAACTCTCCAGCCTTGTCAATCAATTGAAGGATCACATCAACATACCTACCAACAAACCCATCAGGAAAAAGGAAAGGGAAATGGCTTCAATCTACTGTATTTGAAGGCACCGTCAATCTTTTCATGGCATTTTTATTTTCATATGAATCTTAGAAGAAGAAACCATCTTCTAAAGAACCCAAGGAGTAAATCAATTAAACAATTTCAGACAATTTTGAAAGTTTATGAAAGAACAGCAAAAGGGAAGCCCAGTGACGAAGGCATCCCTGCAAGGAGAGGGTCCAGGGAAGGGTCCCACCACAAGGGTGTATAAGGGGCAAGCCTTCCCCTGTCAAATTTTGACAAGAGGTTGTTCCCAAGACTTGAACCGGAGACCTCTCTGTCACACAGCAACACCTTAACGGGTGCGACAATGCTCCCCTTCATGACAAAACAGCAATATCACTAAAAATGCAAAAAATGAACTGCGCACAGATTGGCGGATAACAAAAGCACTAGAAAGCTAATTGCGAGGAAATTCAACAAATAAACAGTTAACTCGTCAAAAAGGGCTAAAATATGTGAAACACTAAAACTTAAAAGCTTATGAGCTATATTATTGATTAAATGCTAGAATGAACATACCAAGACAAATCAGGGGCAAACTTCTCTGCAAGAATTGCAACCTTTAGTGCAAGCTCCTCACGCATTGCAAACTCTGCTGTACTTAGATACTGAGAATATATTAAAGTCAGTGACAGGTTTTCCAATGTTATATGCCCTTAGAGGCTTAGAGCACAGATTAAGAATAATAGGGTGGCATTTACCTGCAATAATTCTTCAACTATATCCTTTGCATTAGATACATCACACATTCCATACAGCAAATCAAGAGCTCGTCTCCTAATGCTGTTCGGTGTAATTTATGATTAGGAAACGAAAGCGATAGCAAATTAAATAACTAACTTTATCATAAAAATTTTCATAGGTGTAATGTGAAACACAAGGAAGGAGTTGGATATTGTAATAATTAAGAAACAGAGCTACCCCATACCAGATGATTACACCTGTTAATCAAATTTATTTATTTATTTTTAATCAAATTTATTACTTCAGTAAGATTTTTTAATCAAATTGAAGCAATTACAGGTTTTTGGCATGCACTTGCAAAGCTGGAAATAGAATTATGCTTGCAGGCATTAACAAACAATGGGGGGAGGCATTAAACAAGGTAACATGAATACACACACCCAACTCAAGTAACTCAACCTGATATCAGGATCCTTCAGCGAGGTAATAATCTGTGGTTGGTGTCTTTTGATGATGTCCTGTACATCTGTAACCATCAGCATTCGAGTCATGTTTTCCTGTATACAAGAGAGATAAATCACAAATTAGGTTTTGCCGATCAGTTGTACATATTCTGGTGATGAAAGAGCAAAAAGGTGAAAATTGGGATAAAAGTGCACAATGGTATTACATGAAAAATTGATAAACACATATTCAGTAACAGCTTACCAAACCAAGATATCGAATATTTGGTTCACGAACAGCAATAAACTTTCCAAGCAATGCAACACATTGAGACATCATTTCTTTTTCAGCATCGAGATGCATGACCTGCCGTATAGCAATCAGACAATCAGTTAGAAAGACATGAAATTGACCTCAAAAGTGCTAGCTGAAAAGGGGACAGCATACTAAATGGAGCAGCAAGTAATTTTAAGCAAGACTATTGAAGAAAAACTTAACAGAGAAGTTCAAGAACTCCATGCACATTATTTAATGAGATACAAGTTTAGTTTGCAAGAATATCTGTGAAGAAGATAAGAACATGCCATAATACATGGATGCTTTTGAATGGATATTGATTTAGAAATACACAGTATGTATTTAAAAAACATAGAGCAGTAAGGGAAAACGCTTATTCTACGCACCTAAGCATTATATAGAAAAGACTGAAGGGATAAAAGAGAATATTATTTTAAGCACACAGAAATGTATCTAAAATGAAAAAAAAATCATGTTGATTAATACAATAATACAACAGCTCACATGGAAAATCCAGACACCGAGAGCCCCAAAATTATCCACCTATTACATCTCAAACAGAAAAGCTTCTGAACCATTTAGTAAACTTACAAGAGCAAGAGATTCAAAGAGAACTGCATGTGAGGCATTATTCTTGTTCACATTCTTCACAACATCAGTTCCCATGAGTATCCGTTGTAAAACCTAATCAATGATCAAGAAACCCAACTAAATGAACTATAGAAATGGTTTATCATTAGAAAAACATTTCCATGTCTTTTCTTTGCAAAGATGAAGAAGACTGGACCTCAAACAATGATCTCCGGGTGTTTGGATCTTCTATAGTTGGAAAATATTGAAGAGCCCTCATAGTCTTCACCTACACAACAGAAAATAATACTGAGGATGCTAAAGATTTGATAAAGGATGCTTATTGTATTGGTCAGATTAAGTTCATTATATTACTTTTGCTATCCTTGATAAGAAAATATGTGAGCCCCTGTATGTGGTCATTGTTTCATTGAATCAGTGTGTCTAACTGTTATAAGCAGAGCTAACCATTGAAGATTAATACCCATGGGAAACTATTCAGTAACTTGAAAATTCTTTATTTTTCAAAAGAGTGTATAACAGAAAGGAAAATCAGGAAAGTTACTCAAAATGGTCTGATTTCTAGATTGGAAGGTAGAAAATGGAAAACATCAATTTACCTCAGAAAACAGTTTGGTAAACAACATGATCTTCAACAATTTTTCTTCAGTGAATTGGATTTTTTACCACAAATTTTCTACACTAAAAAGTACATGCATACGACCCGCTCATGATCATAATGACCTATCAACCCCACTACATAAACATCATAGTTATCATCATTATTATGACCACCTACTTCCATCCAACAACACATCCCTACCACCATAACACGGTAATCCTTAACCCCAGTCACTACCGGTAGCCATCAAAAGCATGATATCACCAAGTTTCAAGACTGTTACTTGCGCTCAGTATCCAATACAGTCCAATAGCCCAATGCATATAACATTGTATCAATGTACCATACATTAGAAAGGGTACCATACATTAGAAAGGGTTTGATGCACATTGTTACTAGGTTCAGTAGGTTGATACTTGATACAAAAATCAAATATATTGGTTTAGAATTTGACTCGAAACTTGTATAATCTACAGTACATTTTAACTGCCGACTATATTTTCAGGGTAATTTTAGGTTATCCCAAATATTTGATGTTTGAGATGACTCGGACCACTTGGCATCATGAATCAACAAAACCAGAGTTGAAAGTAACAATCTAAACTACAAAACCAACCAAAACTGTTGAAACAGAAATATATGCTAACACATGCATCTAAAGAGCCTAAAATAAAACTATTACATTCTAAAGCATGAAATTCATTTCTAAACTAATGATAATATTTAAGTAACTCTTAGACGTACAAAACATCAAATTTCCTAACTAATGATTCATTAATTGATATCAATCTAAACTAGAAGTATTTCCCATCAACATTCTAAATTTTAAATCTATTTTTAAATCTGATGTCATATGTCAATTCATGTTAGACAACCCCAAACTCATTTTTAAGGCTTGGATAATATTGTTGTTTTTTTTGTTTAAAATTTTAAATCGATCCTGAATTTCATTCACCCATAATCCTAACTTTAATCACTTCAGCTTTTACAGTACAACAAAAGTGTTTAATGTGAAAAATAATTGCTTGATGCCCTACCTAATATAATTTCAATTACAAGGATATAACACATCCTCACATCTTTATATCTCAAAAAAAATACCAATTAGATTTTGTATATAGTTTCACATTAATAGATTCAATATGATTGTGTTTAAACAAATTTTAGTTTCGCGGTGAAAGTCATATTCAAAAACCCTAGAAAAACTAAAGTGAAAAACACTTTATGTAACTAAGCAGGCCTCATGTATTTCAATATCCACGGAGTCAGCAACAATCGAACTACAAAGTTACTACTGTTTTCTTAAATTTAAGGTGCATACTGCACAGATAAACAAATTCAGCTGTAACTATAGTCTAATGTAGTACTCGTAGTAAATGAAATTCATATATGAAAAAGAAAAACACATTTGAAAATTAAAATATAATAATTAAGGATAATAAAGAAAGAAAAAGAGTTGATTCAACTAATGAATAGCAAATGTGGCATGTAAATGGGACCAATGGAGTAGAAAAAGGTGACAAGACCTGAAGCCAAGGAGAAGGGATTCCATAATAAGTATACTCTTGAGGAACATCTTGATTCCTTGCAAGTCTCTCCAATATCTTAACACACTTCGGAAGACAATTCCAATATGCTTCATGGTTATTTGACACTAAAGCAACCAATAGACTCATGGAAGATGTCAAGACACCCAAATCACGTTCATCCAATAGTTGTGCCATCCGATCTGACCTGCAGTATAAGGAAAACTCCAATCAACTGAAACAAAAGTTGAGTAATTGCATAAACTAGCAATACGAAAAAAATTGTACTCACCATCCATCCACATTCACAGCATCGGGGTTTTTTCTAAATAGGCGTAGGAGACACAATCCAGCTTTCTTTCTTACAAGTGGCCGGCAACTACTTGAAATCTGAGCAGAAAGTTAACAGTCAAGCACATTTTTGCTATATTAGAATTATATTACGGAGTATAATTCTAGTGAAATGCTAAAATGATTATCATCTTACAAGCAGCTTTTGGACATCCGGTGCCAGAGACTCGGCAAATTCCCTTCCGCCTATGTTCCCAACCTACAAAGAATACATGGGAATTGAAACTGTGCATAGCAGTACAAATGTAAAATACATAACTGACAAATCTTAAAAATACATTAATACATAATGGAGAAATAAAATAAGTATTGTAAATCTTAGCCTACGCGCCTTCTGAATGACTAATTAGACCAAATCGACCCCTAGTCGGCCCAAATTAGTTGCATTTTTATTGCTTTTCTCCACATTGTGATAATGACTAGAAATACAATCCAATTTCGCATAAAGTAATGATATGATATGTAGCAACAAATACTTCAAGGTGTGTTTAGCATCATCATCATTACCCCAGTGCCACAAAGGCTTCCACCTTCGGTGGGGTAAAGGGGGGTCGGATGTACGCAATCTTACCCCTGTACTAAAGCGCAGAGAGACTGTTTCCGGATGACCCAAAGTGAAAATCGCATCAAAAATTGCATGGACTGACTGCTGCTTCATAACAAAGAAGCGCAGACAATTTAGTGAGCTATTTTGCTTTATTCCATCATATGATGAAAAATAGCCAACTAAACATATTTATTGTGTTTAGAATACATTAAATAAATGAAATATGTATAGAAGTGTGAAATTTTCTTAGAAAGGAAAGGCTCCAGGTCAACTTTATTCCTCTTTTCATGTCTTGTAAGTTGTAATCTACAAAAATACATTTCATTATAGTTTTTCCATTGAAAATAGCTGTGAACTGTATGTACAACCTTAGTAGGCCACCAACAACTAAGCATATTAAAGAAAGATGGGAGTAAAATATGGGTGAGACACTGAACTACTTCTCAAAAATAAGGTCAGCCTGCTCAGGACAGACTCTAGGTGACCTAGGCAGGGATTTTGCATCTGAATGATGCCTAGAACTTTCTGCGACACTGAAAAAACCCATTATGATGCCCATAGGGGGTACATTTAGCTGAGTCAAATTGATTTTAATGATAAGAAAAAGAATCTGAAACTACAAATAGTGCAAATGTGCAATTAGCATACCAAGGTTAATGCTAGACACTGAAATGTCTCATTGCGTCCAATAATGTCATTCCTCACAGCATTAATTGCTAGTCGCAAGAAGTCATGATTTTCGTTGAGCAAACATGATGTGACTATGTAACCAACCTGAAAACATTTTAAGCAATCATTCAAGCAAAAGTACTCTATGTGCTTAATTCAGAAAAGGATTACAGAGTTGCATGATGTAATTGAATTAAAAGATTATAATAAAAATTGACTAGAAACACAGCTTTTCAAACATGATGTAATCCTAAATTTCACTAGAACGTTGTAGCTCTATTTTTCAACATTATAATGGTAAATCAGGTCGCCATGCCAGCAAACCGCAGTATTGCAGTAATTTGAAAACAAAGTTCAAGAGTTCAAGCCAATTACTAAAATCTTCAAAATTTTCAAAAAATATCTAGATTTTTCAATTTTTTAACATAATATGATGTTTTCCCTATCCGGGGATGTTCACGTAAACAACCTCTCAACTTAGTGGTTGGGGTAAAGTCAATATACAATATCTCTCACCCTCATAGAACGCAGCATTATAGAAGCATGAGAATAACAGGAAATTTACCTGCTTCTCAGGATACTTCGGGGCAGATATTAGAGAAACAGCTTCCATGTGACCAAAATCAACATCATAACCAAGCATAAAAATGTAAAGCATTTTCCAGACATATTTCTTTTTCTCGTAAGGTGTCAACCCCTGATATAAAAGAACAATTATAAAGTTGGAGCAGCAAACTCATTACATATTAATACAAGTCAAGCATCTAAGACGTGGTAGCAGATGAAATAGCCAAATTTAAAATGGAATAGACTCAGAAACTAAATTTCATTTTTATTTATTTTCTTTTGTCAGTACACTTTATATGCAATGTGCATAACCGATAGCATAGTCTACCTAAATATGAAATGAAACAAAAGCAATTCATGGATGAAGCTGCTACTTATTTATCTAGTAACAAATAAAATAGATATTATTTCTCTTAGACTAATTAAAATGTACAAGATGCTGAGGTCACAGAAATAGCGCACATGCTGAGTCCCGCACTGAAGTGTAAGTTTGCACATAATTCATTATTAGTGGTTAAGGGTAAGCATGCAAGCACAAGAATATAACCTTGGCAGCGACTAACCACCCGTAGTGTTGAGGTAGATCAAATTCTGTTTCTCATAAATGTAGCATGCATGAAGATATCACTTCATAAATTTTGAATTATATGACCAAACCAGTAGAATTCAGCAATTAGAGATATTGAGGTAAGAAATAACCACAGATCCTCCATTACAACCTCTATTATGATTGAGCAATGCTACTCGCAAGCCTAATTTAGTTAATACACTCCCAACTACATTAGAACTTGGATGAAAAACAGTCTGAAAACCCCTAGGAAAGCATTGTCAAGTGGAAATATGAATTTCTACATCAACTTAAAGAAAAGGGATGTTTTTTTTTCTTTTTTTTGCATCTGATTCTATATAGGTAAGTGATGTACTTAAAATCCCAGAACCGGGAAGTCACACCAACAAAATGTAGTTCAAGTGGTGCTCCAAACAAGTACTCTCAATCAGCTTTGAGACACTTCATGCAAGGGCATTATGCCTCCTTGACTTTATATTTCTAATTCTATGCTGTTGAGCATATAACGTTTATACAAGTTTATTCCTTTTTACTAAATTCAGCATGTCCCCAGTATATTCATGCCCGAAACTATGGTCCTAATTCTTTTTTTCTAATAGCCTCATTCTACTTGTCCACAAAATGAAGTCGATACAAAACAAACTCACCCAATTCCGTTTCATAAACTTAAGAAAGCAGGGCATATATTCAAGCGGCACTATGTTTCTCCGTTGCGAGAATGGGGTACCTTTTCGTTCTTGAATCGAGTGCGAATATTCCCGAGCTCCTTGTCAACGCGTAGACGCTCCTGCTCTTTGTTTTGACAATTGCGAATGTCACTAATGAAAACCGACAGACCTCTCATGCCGGACAACGCCATCTCCTCCGACGCTCAGATCCGATCCAGCTCAGAGGCGGCTACCAAATTGTTTGATCCAACGCTCCACAAGGGTCTCCCCTGCGAAGATCGAGCAGATATAATGCGGCTTCTACCAACTCTCCTTCCAGGTAGATACGCAGAAGATATGATGAGTCATGTGCAGGAGATATGAAGTGTAGGCGATCTAGAGAGAGAAAGTAGCCTGAACACAATCGGAACAGCCGTCGGCCAGTGGAGGAAGACGACTTTCTTATCAGTCTAATTTCGACATCGTTTTATATAATTTACATTTCATTGAATTTTAAATTTTAACAGTCTCAGTTTTCATAATTTCTTCTTTAACTGTCGAAGATAAGAATATTTTTAGGGGTTATTATTTGGATTTGGATTCATTTCAAGGTTCATTGAGATTTTACACTGCGGAATTAATTGCTGACTAGTAAATAAATGCAAGATACGAGTAAGCATTAGTAGGTGGTAGGAATAGTTCCTTTTATGATGTAGTATCAATTAGGGTGGGCAAAAATCCGGTCCGGTTGATCTGTTCTGGAATGTTCTGGTCCCGTTGCGAAATCGTCTCGTTATATTTGGGACACATTATTTTTGCCTCGTACCGGTCCTGAACCGTTTTAAAACAAAACGGGTTCGGGACAAGTAAAATATATCCTATCCTGTCATGTTGTCCCGAATCCAAAATTTTACTTTGTAGTAGGTTAGTGAGGTCTACCAACAACTCATTATGTAATCCAAATAATAATAAATACAGAGTATCTTTTTTCTCAAACCCAAATACCAATGATATTAAGGTAATAGTTGTTTAACGACATAGCACCTAAAAAATTCTAAACTACCTAGTATGAACTATGAGCTGTCATCTATCTTCAAAAAAAAGAAATTGATTTTTACTCCCAAAGGCTTCACCTATATAGTACTCCTTTTGTTCCTTACAATTTTGTCAAGTTTGACCGGCACGGGGATTAATAAAGTAAAAAATGTGTGGTTGATGTTTGTGCAGAGGAGAGGGAATTAACTGGAACCACAAATTCTTTACTTAAACGGGAAAGTGGCAAAGTTAGTGGAACATCCAAAAAGGAAAATTGGCAAAGTTATAAGGGACAGACAGAGTATTCTTTTATCATTTTTTACATATTTATTGATAGTTTTTTGTGTTAGAGTTTTTTTCCTGCAACTTTTGTTTCTTGCGGCTAATTTGGTAGGTTGCATTTTTTATCACAAATTTCTAGATAAGCGACAATTTTTTTGTTATAAAGTTTTTTTGCGCTAGTTTTTTTTCAAATAGCTTTGCTTCATTTTTGGGATTTGATTTTTTTCACTACAATTTTTTGGGATGTCCCGAACCGTCCCGTTTTGTCCCGGTACCGATTTAAATGGGACAACAAAAGGACAATGTTTTGTCCCGTCCCATCCCGAACCGTTATTATAAACCGGGTTCGGTACTAGGACAACCCAATTCACGTTCCGTCCCGGACCGTGCCCACCCCTAGTATCAATTACACTCAATCATTTTTTACGTTTGTTTATTTACAATTTTGACCGTTAATATATATCATTTTCTATTAGTAAAAAGTTAAAAAAATTGAAAAATTACAATTTGACAAATTTAATGATATTTTAAAAATAATAATTTATTAATACATTAATAAATAAAACATAATCAAAATAGAACACGTGAATATTGTTAAAATCAATATGTTGTATTTATTTAAAAACGAAGATATTTCAAAAACAAATGCGGTAGGAATATTCTACTTTTTTTTGTTAATTGCCATTGTCCGATTTTTAAGCAATTGATCCCATTTGAAATGCTTAAAGGAAAATTTATTAAATATGGAAAGTATGGCAAAAATTAAAATGCATTTCAAAAAGGAATGTGTAACAAACATTTCAAAACGAGGAAAGTTAAAAGGGTTGTGCTAGGTGTACATGTACACTTTTTATATATTCTTCTGTCTCACGCAGACAGAGTTGTCTGTCCACAGATAACTCTGTAGAGTTGTCTGTGGACAGACAATTATGTGTGTGAGACAGACGAATGTAAACAAAGTTTACATAAAAATGTGTACACCAAACATTTTTCAAGTTAAAAACTAATATCATAAAATCCAGTTTTAAAATTGTATCGATATAAGTTTTTCAAAATATGTATCTTATACAGTACATTTATTAATATTTTATTAAATACTACGAGTACGTGTAACAATGATCAAGTCATCATGAGCCCATATGTGTGAAAATCAAAAAGTTGTGATCGGTGAATTAGAAGAAATGACGAATATTTTAGTAAATTTTACCGAATGTCAATTTTATTTATATAAGGAATGTTAGGTATGTGGTTAAAAACTTTTAAGGAGAAAGTCGCATATTCAAAACTCATCTCAATTAAGAATGTTGACATTTAATATTGAACATATACTATAATAAATTAGAAAGTTCAACAAAAGAATAAATGCTACGTATGTTAGTATGTACAATCTAGGAAGATTTATGTATCTCATAAGTGCACTCCACATTGCACTATTGCACCCGTCCATCTCATATTTGAAGTGTGATGTAAACATCCCAAACTTTCATACGTAATATTTATACCCCGAATATTATATAAAAAGTAATATTAGTACCATGAGCATATGTTTTTTTCCTTTCACAATGTAAATTAATGACGCTTTAACTACACTTCTATAAATGTTTAAGTATTTTAAACCATGTACTTAACACCATAAGTTTACATTTTCGAATAAAAAAATAAATAGTAATGGTGCTAACATAACTTTTTATATATACGTAGTATTACATACTTTTTCAAAATTTGGGGTATTATTTAAATTATTGTCCCATATATTGCCTTTATCTGGATACATGTTCTAATTCTTTAATTTGAACTCAATTAATTGAGTTGTACATGTTTGAAAACAATTATAAAATGACATTTAATTTCTATTTTTCCGTTTATATTTACCTGTGAGAAAAACAATAGACTTCAAAATCACCTATTTCGGGATGGACTTTTTGAAGACGAGAAGAAAAGGTAAACAAACCTATTATATATGGTGTGTGTAACATGTTTGGGAATTCTAAGTTTTTAACCGTATCTACATAATCTTGTCTTTTGTATTGTACGAGTGAATTCCGTTTCTTTTGTCATATTTCATTCATCATTTCATGATACTTTTGGCCAACCTACCAAAATTATACCGAATAAATACGTATTTACGAGTATTTAATAAATAAATAAAGAAATAAATAAATAAGATCTAGGCATATGACTTAAGCTGAAGGGCGTGTTCAAGAATTACTGATAGAGTGATACTTTAAGAACCAAGAAGAAATACAGAACAAAATGATACGTAGTTTTATTATTAGTACACAAGCAATCCACTGCTCCTCCTCCTACAAGCAGCAGCACACTTCAGAAGCCAGCACATGCCAAGAGAATTAGAATTTTACCTACTGTCTGTCCAAAGGAAATCTCATACATATGATGCTTACAATTGCAATCTACTGTAAGATGACAGGAAGACTGCAACCCTTGACAAAATTAGCATACAGAATAGTGGTTCTCACAACATTATCTCCTCATTAAGAAAAAAACACATTTTCCTTCAATTTGTGGTTGCCTTTGAAATTGACTGCTTGATAGCCTCAGCATATGTTCTGTGTTGGTAAGTGAGTGTGGACTCTAGCAAGTCCCATAACGATGTCTTTGGATTCCAGCCTGGTTTATCATCCAAAAAACAAAGACCGTCAAGATACCTACTGTTTAATACTACAGGTAGTAGAGAAATCAGAAATATGAAGAAAAAATCGACTTGAATACCAACCAAGTTGTGTGTTGATTATTGTCATGTCTGGAATTCTCTTATCGCTATCGTCATACCCCTCTCCATAGAATTCGTTGGAGCTTATATCTATGGTTGGAGTTTCGAGTTCAGTTTCCCCACTTACTTTGGAGTATACCTGATGATGGGGGTAGGGGAGGTTAAAAAACATGACAAAGAACATAAGAGGCAAATCTGACTAACAACAAGGAGAAACTAATCAATTTACCTGGATCATCATTTCAGCAAGTTGCCTTACAGTTACTTCGTTGTTAGGATTGCCCACATTAAAAATATGGCCATTTGCTCTTGAAGGGTTTTCCTGATGAAAAACATATAAACAGCAAATAAAGCACATCATCAGCACAAGCAAGTGTGTATAGCATTAAAAAGAAAACAGCAAAACAAAGAAGATAAGACCCCACAATCATCAAAACAACAGCTTCAATAGCATCCTTGATGTACACAAAGGTTCTTTGAGATTGGCCTCCGTCTACAAGCTTCAATGGTTCCCGCCTCAAAAGGTTCTGATCAAAGAAGAGAGTTTTATAATAAAAGATGTACGGTAATTGGTACCACAAGTATAACTGCGTATTTAGCTTAATGATAAACTAAACATACATTACTGAAGCAGGCCAAAACTCTTGGAACACCCTCACTAGGACCATCAATGCCAGGAATGAAATCCATCCTGGGACCAATCCAGTTAAAGGGTCTCACAATGGTGAATTCCATACCATTCTCAGCACCCTCAGCTGGAGCACACAAAAAAAGTAGCAAGTGAGAAATGCTGAACAGAGATTCAAACTTCCTACCATCCCACTCCAAAAAAAGGAATAAACTTGGTAAAGGTAAAAGTTTTAAATTATGGAAAGGCACAACTTTAAAATTAATGAAATTAAATTTGCATTATTAGAATTAACTTACTAGTTTAACTAAATGCAACGTTTAACTTGTTCATAACCTTTTGAGATAATTATATGAAAACTTAGCTTTGTCAAATGAAATATGACTGTTGGGACAAAGACAAGTTTTTTAAAATTCTTTTTTGGGCTGATGGAGTACTATTTAGATCTACAGCGGAAAGTTTACACACCATAGATCAATCTCTCAATCAACTGCTTGGCACATGCATAGGACCATCTCTGCTTCTCAATGGGGCCAAAAATGCAAGGAGATACATCTTCCTTCAGAACATAGTAGGCAGGATCCTATATATTCCATTAAAGTAAAATTATGATAACTGTGAACGGATCAAATAAATTTCGGCACAAGGGAACCATTTGAGTAAAGATTTGTGGACATCAAAACACGGCCACTCCATCTCTTGTGACAATTGTCAATTATCAGAAGAGAACTTAGAACGTAATCAAACATTCCAAGTTCCATCTCAAACCATCTTTGAAGCACTTGTAATCCTATTAGACCATAGTCCAAAGACCACGATATATGAGCCCAGTTGTCTCTCAATCTTCGCAAATGAATAATTTGTAATAGAGTTTAGAAACCAAATGAGAAACACAAATATGCAATTTTAAAGTTTCGTAATATCCTCATGATTTTGCAGGCCAACCATCCACTACAATTAGTGTCATTCAAGGTTTGACCTTTGAATCTTATATTTTCCCATTTTCATTTGTGAAAATTAACCAGATGTGATTCATTACTACTGAAAATATCATTTTTATTCCTTCTTCTCACAGTTTCTAAAGAGTCTGGTTGATTTTGAACTTGAGGACCAGAAGACGAAATACACCCTCCGATATCACATTCATGGGAGCTCCAAGGAACTATAACAATCCAGTGGAAGCCAGCCCAAAGTGGCAAAGTCAAAAGGGAAGAATGTAACCATTCCAGAAAGGACAAAGTCAAACTCACAGATCTGGTCCCTACTTAATAATTTAAATAAATTTTAATACAAGGCATAAGACACTACACATTGAAGGCTCACCTGTCTCAATGGACTATCTTTGGGTAAGAAGCACCCTATGGTTTTCCCATACACTTCACAAGTGGAAAAATGAATGAGACGTTTTCCATTCTCTGAACAGTATTTGACCTGAATTCATAAATTCACATCAATGTCAAGACCTTCATATGCAATCGAACAACAACATTATACTAGTATATACTAGTGTAATTAGGAGCATTATGATTAAAGTATAATATCGAGTATTCGGAAAATCGGGAGTGACATTGTTAGTGTCTAAATTCACTGTTACTCAGTTTTGCTCATCTCATCAAAATAACAACTTGTTAGTTTCGCTCACCAAATAGTTTTTCCATTTTTAAAGTTAAAAAGACATTATTATTCTCATAAAATTAAACTCAAATATATGTTGTACAATTTTGTATCTCTTGGCATTAATGAATTAAATTTTTTAAAACCATTGTTATTGTTAAATTTAATTGTTTTATTATGTATAATGTAGTTTTACATTTATTTTATAATATGGGGCCTCAAATTAACATTTTAAACAAGGCCACTCAAAATTATTAGACGGCCCTGTCTGAATCTCAATATCAACTAAAATCCCTAAAAATAAGGAAAGTAGAAATGGCCATACCACAGGTAGTGCATCGATGAAGTTGCTGTAAATTGTGTCAAGAGGGCGGGTGTTGTAATCAGCAGGAGTGCAGATCGCAGCAAGATTTATGGTCTACAACACAAGATAAAAACTTAGATCAAACCCCTTTACTGATCAGAGAAAGCACAACAAATTAAAATTAACTGAGTGGTACACCAATGTGATACAGAGGATCCTCACTCAGCAATATCTACCCCTGTACGGCTGTACCCCATTCTCTATGAATGATTATGATTGAGATTGCAATATACGGAATGAAAGCACAAGTTTTCTGACAAATAGAAGTTCTCGATCACATTGCATGCGATCAGTTGTAAGTTCGAAACATATTACAATAGAGGATGCAGTCATGCAGATAATGGAATGTGAACACTGGGAGAGAAATTACCAGATCTGCCATCTTGATAAGTCCTTCAAGGCGAGAGTCATTCTTGATGTTGAGGCGATGGAACTGGATGCGGTCAGCCCAACGGCTGGAGGCAGGCTCGAGGAGGTGCTTGATCTTGTCATTGTACACGTCCACCGCGAAAACCTTGTGCTGCGTCTCCTCCATCAGCTTCTCGCACAGATGCGACCCAATGAAACCTCCGGCGCCGATCATGCATATGGTAATCGGCTTTATCGGATTCCCGTCTAGATCTACTCTCCCTGCCATTTTCAGTGATCTTTTCTCTACCTCAGTATCTCCGATTAGAAATGGTGATAATCACAACGTACTGGTTGTGGCGGTGGTTTGTGGCTTGGGTTTCCTGAATCGCTCTCTAGATTTGGTGTTTGAAGGTGGAGCAGGAGCGGAGACTTGTGGGTGTTTAAAGCTGAAAGGAAGGAGGGAGTGGAATTTACTGCTCTGTTTCAGGTTGACACGTGAGCGATGGGAGATTAACGGAATCAAAACTGAATCCTCTAATTAAATAGTCTCTCCCTCCATCTGCAATCAAAGTTGGTTTTTTTACCACTTGGAATCACAATTAGCTTAACCAGAATTTCCACACCAAGACAATATTTTTTTGAATATAAATGACAATATAACATGTAGACACTTATGGCAAATATGATTCTGAGTCCTAAGAATAGACGTAGAATCAACCATTTCATACAAAGCAACATGATTCGTCAGATACGAAATGAGCAATTTAAATCTTAAAACATCGGGATTGAAATAATGTCTATCAAACGAACATACAAAATCCAAATTGTCAAACCAAACCCACTCAAACTAAAATAAGTCTTTATTCCCGAAATGGGACTAAAATGACAATATTTATTTCATCTTGTAGGCGTGACTGTCAAATAGTGCATTTAATATGACAATATTTATTATAATTAATGACAATATTTTTCAATCATGGCAGTATTTTTCATACATGACAGTAAGAACTTCTTTTTCGGAAAGAAAAACACAACAGTCCTATTTTGGAATTCCAAACTTCATTCACTCCTATTTAGGACAATTTCCTAAATAAAAATAAGTACTACTAATAGAAAAACAAATTGAAATTTCAAAATAGGAGTAAATGGAGTTTGAAATTCCAAAATAGGACTACTATGTTTTTTATTCCTGAAATAGGAGTAAAATAACAGTATTTACTGTCATCTTGTAGGCGTGACTGTCAAATAGTTGCAGTACAGTGCATTTAACATGACAATATTTATTATAATTAATGACAGTATTTTTCAATCATGACAGTATTTTTCATACATGACAGTAACAACTCCTATTTTGGAAAGAAAAACATAGCAGTCTTATTTTGGAATTCCAAACTTCATTTACTCCTATTTAGGGCAATTTCTCAAATCAAAATAAGTACTACGAATAGAAAAATAAATTGAAATAAAGTCTTTCCACAAAAACTATTTATGGCACGGAGGTGGTTCTAGAGGAGGACGGGTTCTACCAATATCTACGCACTCTAAAAGAAGGCAGATAGAAACCCCTCACCAGATGAAGCTAGACGGGACACCAACAGAACTCCCCACATCGAGAGTGACAAATTGCTTCGGAGCACCAGTGTCCGGGGAAAAATCAGCATAGAACAAAATCAGCACAACCAGAAGAGAAGAACAATCCAATTGGATCATACCTCTACCAAGAATTTCTTAGCGTTGATATCACCATCAGATAGTTTGGATATTAATTAATTAATATTCTAATATTGGTCATGTAATTGGGTTATATATTATTAATAGAGTTCATATAGTCCTAGTCCTTTGATTGGTTTAATGATAGGTTGAACCTGTATTTGAGCCTGTCTAGGACTAAGGTCCCACAACCCTCTCCTTTGCCTCTATATATATGTTTATTCCTCATGGAATAAGAACACAATATAAGTGAAAGATCTCTACCTATCAAGAATCTCATAAGGAAAGAGGACATAGGGGATAAGAGATTGATTCCAGTTCATTCATCTATTATGGATCCGGGTATTCATAAATCTCAAATCTATCATTCATCTATTATGGATTCGGGTATTCATAAATCTCAAATCTATCAGTATATGGTTATGTATAATTATATGATGCCGATATTGAAATTTAATCTTATAATTGGTATCAGAGCTAAATCCGTTTGACATCATAAATTATACTTAGTGTATGAATATATTTTTGGGGTAATTTGAGTTTGCACCCCATTTTATTGTCCAAATTGGACTTTGCACCTCGTTTTTAAAAATCTTTGTTTTTGCACCCCAACCCCATGTGAAAAGACAAAAATGCCCCTCCATTAACAATTCTGTTGGCCTTCAACATATTCATAATCGAGAATATTTTGTCTTTTCATATGAGGTTGGGGTGCAAAAACAATGATTTTTAAAAACGGGATACAAAATCCAATTTGGACAACAATATGAAGTGCAAACTCAAATTACCCTTATATTTTTCGATTCCGTTGAATTTTCGTGTATTGAATTCTTTGGAACCGGTACCGAACTTTTGGTGCAAGTATATTCATACTTTGTACGAATATAATCCGTATTGAATTTTTCTTATAATATTCATATGAGTTGAATATAATCCGTATTGAATATCCGTTGAATTTATACGTACATCATTCAATCTCGGTAAATCCAATTCACAAATCTTACTGTTAAAGTAGAATTTCATGATGGGTGCTTATCTCTTTAGAAAAGTAACATGGGTAGAGCCGTAGAGGTGAATCTGGCTTAGAACTAAAGGGAATTGTAATTTTCTTCAAAAAAGCCACCCTAATTTCTTGTGTATAGAATATTTTAAAAAATGTAATTTTTAGAGCATCTCCAATGATTGCTTTTAGGTACTTGATAGCAATTTTCAAGCTACGTCCAAAAGGTTGAATCCCCAACCCCAAGGGCCCCCCACCTCGACCCGACAGGATGGTGGGGGAGTAAATCACGATGACTCAGTCGGCAAAGCGGCATTAGGCCTTTATCCGTGCGCACCAGAGGGTCAGCCTTATTTCAGGTTCTGAAAACCCCCTTTTGGTCGCTGCAGGATTCGAACATTGGTCTACGTCCAATTTTTCCCACCACTCGACCAACTGAGCTACCCGTGCGGGTGCAATTTTCAAGCTACTAGCATACCATTGGAGTACATCTTTCCTTCTGCTTGGGCAAGTCAATTAGCCAAAACAAGCTAATTGCTAGAAAGGAGAGAAACTTGAATTAAAATGGTTACCAAATATATCTAATTTATTTTGAATTGATATATTAAATTAATTAAAAGTAATTTCAATCTCATACCGTTAATTATATATAGAGAATGATTTAAAAATTGAGTTATACAATACTTTCTCCTACTCCATCTTTTTTGCCACTACCCTTATTTTTCATACGTAAGGTCTTCAAATGGAGGGCTATGAAAATCTATACAGCAAGTATTACTCGTGAAATATTTAAGCAAAAGTTGATATTTTTGAGTATGTATGTGTTGTTAAAATTTGATATTCCTTATATTTTTTACTTAATAAAATACGTACTAATTTTAATAATATGCATTTTCACTCTTGTCGGCTTAATATTGGGCGTTGCATTAATGTTTGGTCAAAGTCGTAGTTGACGACCAGCTTAATCCATCTGCCAGAAGTTACATTTTATGAAATAATATTATTGATGATAATGGCTCACCCTAACCGGGTGTGCTGATGATGTATATATAATAATAAAGATTGTGAAAATTACAAAAATGTCCCAATACTATAGATTATTACACCTCTCAATCTGTGTAGGGGAAACAACGCGCAGATTGGAACGCAAAAGTTCAAAACGCTGACTAGATAAATTCTTTGTAAAGATATCAGCTAACTGTAACTGTGTGGGCACATATTTGACAACAAGATCGCCATGAGCAACTCGTTCACGAACAAAATGACAATCAATCTTTATGTGCTTGCTGCGATCATGTTGAATAGGATTAACAACAAGATAAGAAGCTGACACATTATCACAATGAAGCTGAACAGGAGCAGAGAGCCGAATTCCCATCTCGGCGAGCAAGGAGCGAATAAAAATTGTATCTTGAACAGTATAAGCGATAGCTCTATACTCGGCTTCAGTGGAGGACTTAGAGACTGTAGGCTGCTTCTTGGACCGCCAGGAGACTAGATTGGGCCCTAGAAAAATAGCATAACCAGTGGTGGAGCGACTGCTATTCGGACAGCCAGCCCAATCAGCATCAGAGTAAGTGTAAGGAATAATTGTAATTAGATTTTGATGATGCTAGGTTAATTAGAATGTTAAAGTACCCCATTAGAATGTTTGTATTAGAAATTTTTCTAAGTGTAATGTAGTAGCATATTCGACGGGACAGAGAACCTCAAGGGTCTCTGTTAGACCAGAGAAGCAACAAAGATAGAAGGACAGGATATCAACAGAGTTGCCCTCTACTGCCTCTACCAGAAGTGCTCAACACTTGGAAGAATTTGAAATAACTTCCAACGGACGTGAAACTAACGAGAAATCCCATAACGGCTAGGAGTCACTCAACGGAACATGGTAATGTACACGCATTAAATGCTCAATTAATGCGGTACATACGAAGAGATATTTAAAGCTGGTGATTGACCATGCGGATACCCTTTCGCCCCCAAAATAGCAAGTCGAAGAACCAACCGGTCAAATTAACAGTACAAGCATTAAATGAAGTTGTCTTCTACACTCCAACGGGAAGTCAGCTCCCAGTATATAAGATACATCTCGAAGAACAACCGGATAACTTTGCTCAACTTTTGCTCTCACAACATTCAAACCTACAAGCTTTCTTGAGATCACAACTTCATCTTCCTTAGCAAGAAAAGCTTACGTCGGAAAGATTTCTTCTTCATATCTTTTCTTCCAACAAGAGCAAAGTTCCTCCAGTTCTTCAACTCTTTGAAAGCCTCATCTACACATCCTTTGTGAAAAAGCTACGTTGGAGAAAACTGATTTTCAATCAAACACTTCTTGCAAAATAAGGGACGTCTCAAACTAGCTGGAGTAGTGAAGCGGGAACACTTCTAGAGACTCAGTGAAACGAGACCAGCCATCAGGAAGCAAGGATTGCATCCCAGGTGGCAACTAGACTTGAAGAAGATGTGGAGTGATTCTTAAGCTCTAGGGACTAAGGTGTTGTAAATGGTTGCTTTTGCAAGTGATGGATTATAGGGTATCCAAAGTATATTAAATAGGGGAGATTGAGCTTAATAATGTGGAGAAGAAGATGAATAGTAGAGTGTATGAATTGAGAGTTTTTTAGAGTTAGGGTTTACAAGCTCCAAAAGGAGTATATATAGAAGAAATCCGGGTCTGGGCCTCTAATATGGGCCTGACAGACCCGGTTACATAAATGGACTGATAATATAAAAGGTTAATCTAGAACACCTGAATAATAATAATGTACAATAATGAAAATGCTATCAGCTGAGTGTACGTGGGCCGCTGTCTGGGCCCAATAGTCGTGAGACCCGGGGGTCCGAGTCTATATACTCCATCAGGAGTCCCCCACTCCCTGAGTCGAGAGTACTCAAGGCGAAAGGGAGTAGAACTGTGTGCTGATCT